TTCTTTTCTTTTTGGCCGGCCATGGGGCTTGAACTCAGGCAGGGCGCTGTCCCTGAGCTTCTTTTGCTCAAGGCTAGCACTCTACCACTTGAGCCTCAGTGCCACTTCTGGCCTTTTCTGTTTATGTGGCATTGAAGAAAAAAATCCAGGGCTTCATGCACGTTAGGCAAGCACTCTACTACTAAGTCACCTTCCTAACCCCTAGACCAGGAATTTTTCTGGGCCTATCCTTGCAGAATCTAAGGGAGAAAACAAGGATAAGAGGAAATGATTAGTGTGTCAGTGAGTTGAGGTGTGAAGACTGGAGCCCCACCGGCTTCCCTTGACTTCTATGGTACTGAAGCTGGGCCCAATTCTTGGCTGAAGAGGCTTGAAAACGGCCCAGGATTGGGTTCAGGTAAGCAAAGGGAGCCAGGAAGGGCAGAATGCTTGATTTCAGCGAGGAAGGCCTGTCATTACAATCAAACAAAAGCAAAAACCAAAAAACAATTTCGGTCTCCCTGAGCTTTCAAGGCCCAATCCAGGACGACCTCGCCTCTGTGTGTGTGTGTGTGTGTGTGTGTGCGCTATCCCTACGCGCAGTGTGTGTGTGTGTGTGTGTGTGTGTGTGTGTGCTATCCCTACGCGCAGTCGCAGTTCCCGCCTTGGTCCTTTGGCGCGGGCTAAGCGGATGGAGGAGGGGAGAGTCTCGTGGGTTCCAGCCTCTTCCAGCGCGGAGCTCCAGGTCCCGCCCCCCCGCGCCAGTTGCCAGGGAGCGGTTGCCATAGAGCCGAGCAGTTGTCCGCGTGCGCAGGCGGAAGTCCCGGATTGAGGCGCCGCCATTTTTTGCTGCCCGGACGCAGAGCGAGAGGCAGAGAGAGCCGGAGACGCTATCCGCTTCCATCCGTCGCGCAGACCCTGCCGGAGCCGCTGCCGCTATGGATGATCGGGAAGATCTGGTGTACCAGGCGAAGCTGGCCGAGCAGGCTGAGCGATACGACGGTGAGTTGGGGGGGCAACAGGGGGCTGGAATTCTCGGACCCTCTGCCGCCGCCCACAGAGGCCCGGGATCAGGAGACAAAATGGCGGCATCGTCTCGGAGCCTGGCCCGGGGACGTGGATTCGGAAAGCAGGAAATGGCGTGTGTGGGCTCCCGGAGCGATGGGAATCTCCCGGTCCAGGAATCTGACCTGGTCGGTGTCCTTATTCGCAGACCGTCTGGAGCCGGGAGGCCGAGACGAAAAGGGTGGAGGAGTTGGTTGTAAAATGGCGGCTAAGAGGGGGAGGGCGAGTCCCTGGGCGGGGGAGGGGGCGATGGCGGGTGCTGTTCCCCCGGGCCGAGCATTCCTTTGGGGAGCTCCTGGGACGGTTGAGATGTGAGGGGGACACGGGGTGTGTGTGTGGGGGAAGCAACACCCGCCCCCCTGGGACGGAGTGGAGACGGGGAGCCGTAGCGCGGGCGCCTTTCAGGGAAATATGGCGGGTGGGGGCGGTGGCTTTTCCCCGGAGGCCGTGTGCGGGGCGGCGGCTGCTGTGGAGTCGCCTCAGAAAAGGGGGATCCATCTGGAGTGGGGGGGGGACTTCTTTGGGCTGGGCCCGGGGCGCAGGCTTCGGGGAGGTTGAGGGCCGGGGGGTGGGAATCACAGCCGGCATCCTTGGGTGCCTGGCGAGCGGAGATGCTACGGCCGGATTTCTTCCCGGGCCGACACACACACACACACACACACACACACACACACACACACGCACGCACGCACACACACCTTGTGGCTGAGGGATTGGCGGGGTGGGGGTGGGGTGGGGTGGGGGCGGGGGCTTTGCAACCTGGCCGCCTTCCGGGGGAGGTGCGGAAATGTCTCTCTCACTCTCCCTTTTCCTCTACTGGCCCAGGAGACCCCCGAATTGCCCGCAATCTTTTTAACTGGCTGCACAAGCCACTGTGTTGGTGGATAGGATAGATCTGTAAAGCTGGGGACAGAAAACCCTGACTCCTTAGTTCTGCTCTGTCCGTGGTCATGGCATCAGTCTGCTCGTTTGTGAGAAATGACTTTGATCGGTACGCACTTTTTTAGGGGACACACAGATCTGTTGAAAAATAATTTCACATGACTACCTACTTAAAAGAAATTTTTTTTAAAAGCCACTGTACTTTGAGTACACCAAGCGTGGAATGCATGTTTTTAATTTCGTTTTGGGACGAAATCTATTCCAGGCACTCAACTGAGGCTTGGGATTTTTGGATTACATGAGTGTAGGCAGTTTCATTCATTTTTTTTGGGGGGGGGGTCAGGTCGTGGGGTTTGAACTCTGGGCCTGGGCGCTGTCCCTCAGCTCTTCAGCTCAAGGCTAGCTCTCTACCACTTGAGCCACAGCACCACTTCCGGCTTTTTTCTTTTTGCTTATGTGGTGCTGAGGAATCGAACCCAGGGCCTCATACTTGCAAGGCAAGCACTTTACCACTGAGCTACTTTCCCAGCCCCTCATTCATTTTTTTCTTCAACATTTTAAGTTTTTTTTTTTTTTTTGGTACAGGTTTTAATAGTCCTCTTTGTTAATTTCTTTCTGGGCTGGGAATTGAACCTAGGGCTTCAAGCCTGCTCTACCCCTGAGCTACTACACTCTCAGCCCCTATTCAGTTGATGTTTCAGTGATTTTTCAGAGATTTATCAATTGCATCTGTTCAGTCAATCCTGGTCCCTTTTATTTCTTTTTTAAATCTTTCCTTCATTTTGGATTTAGCTACTTAAGTTGTACAGCATCTGTGAACACAGCGTGTTTACATACATGGTTCCAGTGGTTTTTATGCTTTTGTGGGGTAACTGGCATGGTTAGAATCAAGTATTGTATGATCATTAGACTTAAAAAGCGTCTTATTTTCCGAAACATTATGTAGGGCCCTTCAATAGTAGTTTGGATCATATGGACTAGCCCTAGTGTATCAGCAGAAATTCAAGGATTTCAAAAGTAAGAGAAATGACCTGAAAAACTCAAAAGTTAAGGGAAATATTGAACTAAATTTAGTCGTACAGATTTTTCCTGTTGGGAAGGGGTGGGGATGTAAAATGAGGAGTACAGCTCAAGGTCAGCTTTGTCATTACTTCAGTGTGTTTAAAAACCAAATAAATGAAGGTGTACTAGTAATGAAAGTCTCTTTCCCTCCTCAGGGCCCCAAATAAGTTTCTTCTGATGCCCTTGAGAGGAAATAACTTGGATTTCTATTTGAATACTTGATGTTCTGTGGGAATTTAGGCTTTTAGTATACTGGCTGAGATAAAGGAGATGTGTTATTGGGGCAGAAGTTGTTTTCAATTCATTAAAAATGATTTGAAAGCTTATGATTGTAGCTTCCAAATAAATGACAGGTTAGTGATGATCATATTGGCATTTGAGTACTGAGGGTTTTTGACAAAGCCCTGATTATTCTAGGTAGGACTCTAGGCAGAGCCACATGGTTACTGTGTGTTTGTGTCCTCTTTATAAGTTAAAAGGTTGAGCATAAGAGATTCAGTGGAAAGGGAGAGAAGAGAGGAAACCACCAAAAACCAGTCTGTGTTCCCTCTCATTAATAACTTGTAGTAATTGGGTTTTGTGGTGATAAAAAAAAATCCTGTAGTATTAATGACGTAACAAAAAGTTACCAGGTGGGGGAGTGTGGAAAGAAATGAGAGTGCTCCTGTGGTATTAGTCTCTTAAAACTTACCAGGTGTGCAGTGTGAAAGAAAGTGAAAAGACAGTGTAATGTTTTGGGCTTTTCGATACAGTTTGAATGTTGGCCTCTAAATGTCCTTTTTTTGTTACTGCCGAAGGCTTACCTTTTTGCATGCTGTGGACAGCTGCCTAAAACCATTCTCCTTTTTAACTACCCTAGAGAATTGAAAGCAATTTATACTGATTGCTTAATGGTGCTAGAAGAGCTAAACTGTTCAGGAACTGGACAGTTTGAGGTTGCATGTGGGAAATACTGAAGTTTTGGGCTAAAACTGTTAAATATGGCATCTAATCCCTTTAACAAGTCTTATAGTCTAAGAGATAGTATTTATGTATTTATAGCCATAGTAAGCAGGTCTAATGTTTGGTATTTTAGAAGCAAGTCTTAATCTTCCCATGTCTATGAACCACGTTGGTATAAAAAAGGAGGGACTAGGGGCTGGGAAGGTGGTTCAGTGGTAGAGTGCATGCCTTGCATGCTTGAGGCCCTGGGTTCGATTCCTCAGCGCCACATAAGCAAAAAGAAAAAAGCCGGAAGTGGCACTGTGGCTCAAGTGGTAGAGTGCTAGCCTTGAGCTGAAGAGCTGAGGGACAGCGCCCAGGCCCAGAGTTCAGGCCCCACAACCAGACCCCCCCCCAAAAAAAAAAGTAGGGTCTTATTGGAAGATGAGAATGATGATTTTCCTCTTTGTGGAGAACAAAGGGAGTCAACATTAGAATTCCTGGGATGGTTGTTCGTTTTTTTTGGCCAGTCCTAAGGCTTGAATTCAGGACTTGGGCACTGTTCTTGAGCCGCTTTTGCTCAAGGCTAGTATTCTACCACTTTAAGCCGCAGCATCACTTCTGGTTTTCCGGTGTTTGATTGGAGATGAGAGTGTCATGGCCTTTCCTGGCACATATCCCCTCCCTCCATATCTCAACCTCTGGATTGGCTATGGCTAGGATTACAGGCATAAGCCACTGGCACCCAACTGTGGTTGCTCTTTTTGTCCTTCCTTAATGTGTGTGTGTGTGTGTGTGTGTGCACGTGTGTGTGTGTGTGCACGTGTGTGTGCACGTGTCTGTGCATGCGTGAGTTCATGGGGCTTGAACTCAGGGCCTAGGTGCTGTCCTTGAGCTTTTCTTTCTTTTTTCCCCTCAAGGCTAGATAGAGCTCTACCACTAGAGCTACATGTCAGTAAGTAGTAGGAACTACTCAGCCTCTTGAATAGGTAAGGTTACAGGCATAAGCCACTGGTGCTTGGCCTCTTTCTAATAATCTTTACTCTCAAAATTGGTTCCATGTGAGGTGGAGTAATTCCCCTTCATACTGGGGTTTGAAATGAATTTAGGTCCTTGACCTTGATAGACAAGCATTTACACTTCCGGTGATGGGTGGGGTAAAATTTATGAACAATCAGAATACATCAACATCAAAATGCATCTGTTCTCAGTCACTAGCTTGAGAGTTATTTTAACACATCAAAAGCTCACCTTGAGCTTCTGCTAAGTGAACATGCTTTGAATTCATTTATTATGAAACAAACCATAATATAAGAGCCTTTAGGTTAACTACCAGTTAATTTTTGTGCTGGTCCTGGGTTTGAACTCAGGGCTTAAGTATTGTCCCAGAGCTTCAAGTGGTTGGCTAGCATTCTAGCACTTGAGCCACAGCTCCACTTCCCACTTTTTCTGTGATTAGTTGGAGATAGGAGTCTCAAGGAACTGTCCTTGAAAGCCTCATTCATGTCTGGGTCTCCTAAGTAGCTAGAATTACAGGTCTTATGCATTGGTGTCCAGTCTTCCAATTCTCTGTCTGTTTCTGTCTCTCTGTCTGTCTCTCTATTGCTGGTCAATGGGCTTGAACTCTGGGCCCATGGGCTGTCCTTCAGCTCAAGGGTAGACCCATTTTTTGGTGGTCAGTTGGAGGTAAGAGTCTCACAGACTTTGTTGCCCAGGTTGGATTTGAACATTGATCCTCAGATCTCAGTCTTGTGAGTAGCTAGGATTACAGGTGTGTGCCACCAACACATGGCAGGTTAAGATTTTAATACTGCGGAAATTCTCCAAGCACTTGTCATGCTTTTACATAAGATCATAATTTAAACTCTAATATGGGAAGAACACCTGGTCATGTAATAGGTGGAACAAGTTTTAGTAAGTGCAAGGAAGCACAAGGAAATACATAGAGCTGGATGAGGTGGCATATGTATACTTGCTGCTACTGAAGAGGCTGAGGTGAAGGGTTAAAAGCTAATGGGTCTAGGGGCTGGGAATGTGGCTTAGTGGTAGAGTGCTTGCCTAACATGCATGAA